GACAGCATCCACCACGTCCATTTCCTCCTACCCAGAGGCCAGGCAGCAGGCTGCTGCTCACCACGCCAGCAAAGCCCCGAGCTCACACCACAGTGGGTCTTCGTGGGCACACAGCAGCTCAGCATGGAGAAGTGAGGCAGTCAATGGGCCCAACAAGCTGGGCACTGCTCTGGACTGTAGCCCCCAGGCTGTTAAACTAAAACCAAAATAAAACTCCCTCTACCTTGAGCTATATAAAAATACCAATAAGCATTAAGTGATTAAACTATTTTGTTTAACAGGATGATTAAAGTGGCAGACACGCTCCCCAGAAAAGCTCATGTGAATGTCTACAGTCCATTTTAAACACTTCTACAGCATCCAACAAACCCAGCAGCTGCAAATGATGCATGCTCACATATTAGAAAGTAGTAGCATGAAATGCAAAAATATATACATTTTATATGAAAAGAAGAACTAGCTTACATTTCATCTCTTTCTTTTCTAAGCACAAAGTTCTTCAGGCAGATTTTTAAATATAATCTCAGCTATTAAGGATTGTTTAATTTTCTAAGTGATTTGGAAATGTATTCACATTTAGGATCAGGAAAGAGAAAAAATAAAGATTTAAAGCAGCAGGGCCAATTCCTGTCTTCACCTGTCCCTACAGCACTGAGAGCATGTTATACTCACATACGAATTGAAGAACAGACTTAAAACAATCCATCTCAAAGCGACCACTTCAGGGCAGGGAGTTTCATGAGAAATGTACTCAGGGCCACACACAGCTTCCAGTATCATTAACAAGCCTTACTGGAGGAAAAAAATAACAGCAGCCCCCTCCACCACTAAGTAACAAAACTCCAACTGACATCATATGTTACATAGCAAACAAGATTTTGGTATTCTGAAACTGTAAAATAACCCACACTTTTGTTTTGGTCTCTGTTTTTAAACACTCCCAATAGTTTGTGTACCTGAAGTTTAACCATCCCGGTTGAAAAACTGGGCCATTCACCAGGTTGATTCCAACTGATGACAAAAGGAGAGCTTTGCATGCCTGCCACCCATCTCAGTCCCCTCTGACTTCTCTCAGTCACTACCACGGACCATCCTCATCGACCCTGACTGCAACAAAACAGAGCCTCCCAGCCCTTGCACTGATATAATGCCACTGCATTGACCACAAGCAATTAAAAACAAGCAACAGGAAAAACAGTCATGAAGATTTGAATGTTTTTCCACTGTCTAAATGATTAAATATGCAAAAACAGAAAACACTTGGCAGCTTACCGAAAGCCGGTTGATGGCACAGCAGCTGATAACAAGCATCCTACTTGATGACAGATAATCCTTTTTCCATTAAATCAAGAAAGCATTAGAACTGGAATACTGGCTAACTCCACTGAAAACAAAACAAAACCTCAAAATTCCCATCGATCTGAGGGAACACAACAAAACATTCCAACAATTTCAGAACTTTTAGATGTATTTAGGAGATTTTTCTCACAGGCCTGAAAGAACCAATTAGTGCTGGCTTTCTGCTTGGGCTCTTTCTGGATGACAGATTGTTGCATTTTTATCTATTCAATTTACCTTCTAAATCATCCAACAATAACTTTTCAAATATGCAGTCCAGCACTCTATCCAGACTGCTCTAGAGGCAAGTAAGAGATCTACAGCCATCTCCCTGACTCTGCAACTTAAAAAATAAGGGGTTTCTTATTTCTATATGAAGCTTTGTAATATTAGACATTAGAAAGGTTTGAACCAAAAATCCAAATTTGGATCCTGATCTGAATTTTGTAGCCCTGGCCTTTCTCCAAATACTTCTGTCAAGTGAAGTAACAAGAGAAGGCAAATGGGAGCTGTATAAAAACATTAAGCTCAACCCCTGCTCTCAACCACATGTGCACACCCCAACAAAACCATCCCAAGTCCCAATTATTTTAAAGTTTAATTGGCGCTTCTGTATAAATTTGAACACCCAAACCTGACCAATACTATCATGTTAACCAGTTACAAAATACTCATGTTTTGGGTTTTTTTCCCAGCATCCAGAAAATTTTAGGAGGTGGTTTTAAGTGTTCTTCTCAGATAGAGATGTGGATTCCTACTTGTCAATGGTATACACACTCATGGAAACCAAACAGAATTGCTCCAAACCACACACAGCCCAGCTACAGGGGCCTGAGGTGACGACCCCACAACTCGGTGCTGACTAAGAGCTCATCAGAGATGCCATCCCGAACCACAATGTCACACTGACTTCAACAAGGAGAACTCCAGTGGAGCAAAGTGGAATGCAGCATTTAAGAAACGAGGAATTGTGTATGTATGATGCTGTGAAGTCAGCAATTTAATGCACTTCTATGCATTCTAAATGAAAAGCAGTAAAAGTTAGCTGAGTATTTTATCACTTGAATACTGTTTTTCTCCAAATATACTACATTTAATCCTGTTGTTTCAAGAAACAAGGAAAAACAAAACCCACGAACGAGAGCGAGAAATCCACTCTTCCTAAAAGCAGATTTACAAAGATCTTCTTTCTGCAAAGCTATCCACCCGACTTGGAGCCAGGATATTCAATAAAAGCTCAGCTCCATTCTCAAAAGGTTATATAAAGGTCAGCATTCATTTTATTCAGGTTTATTTTCTAACCTTGTAAAAATGCCTGCAGACCAAATTGGCTCCCACACCTGCTGACCCAGAAACTTCACCACCACCGTGCCCGCTTGGGAAAGTTGCTTCTCCTCCCACACTGAGCTGGCATTGCTCCAGCAGGCCACGCAGGAAGGCCTTCCAGATAGCAAGGGGTGCATGTGACCAACTGCTCTTTCAAGGCTCTTCAGTGAGGAGCTCTTCCAGGGCAGTTCCCCCCAAGAAGGATGCTTTCCTCCATGTAGGAACGTATGGTGAGAGATAAAATTGTACCTAGATCTGCTCAAAGGAACAACTCATGGACAGGATGGAGCAGCCATGCTCTAGGAAAAGAAAAAGTGGCAAACAGTGAAGGATTTATTTAGCTCAATTCAAGAGATCTGCACCACAGATGGTTATATCCTGGCACTGTTTAGAATTTGCTTACTGCCAAAGAGAAACAGGCATGTAAGACAATCAGACAAATGGTTTCATGGCAATACCTTCCCCTGGAGATGACTCTCACCTCAGAGTGCATCTTCCCCTACAACTGCAACAAACAAGTTACCCTGACCACTGCATGCAGAACAGATGGAGTCAAATGAAACCAACTCCACTTTCTGTCCCTATGTATTTGAGGAAGCAGAGTGTGAAGAAGAATGACATGCTGCTAAATGCCTTATGCACGGAAGGCCAGCCCCCCCCGAAATCACTGAAATATGGTCCACACATGAATTTTTTCCTATGCATTTGACTGCTTATATGCTATGTTGAGAAATACACTCAGAACAGGCAAGTGTTACGATCATCTGCAGAGCCAGGGTACAGTGGGTAAGCACTATTTATGGTTTTAAAGAACCTCTTAGCTGAGAAGCTCAAAGTACTTCTTCAAAGGGGGTAAATACACCTCTAACATTACTTGGGCTTATTGAATTAAGTGCAGCCTGTACGTTTGTCAACAATTTTGAGCTCTTCCTCACAATCATTAGCAATCTTTTATTAAATATTTTTTTAATTAAAGAATTACAAAAGCTTTATTTCCCACCTCCAGTGATGAAAACCACCTCCAGGAAGTAGGAGTTGATCGTTGGTGCACTTTAGGCTGGAGGCACAGAATAACTAAAAAGAGCCTGGAATCAGTTGTGGGAACTGAAATTCTCCACTCAATTTCAGCAGACAGTTTAACAAAAAATAGAGGCTTTTTATTTTTAGTTTTTGCTGTTATTTCCTGCCCTCCTGTCTCAAGCTACAAAAAAATCGTAAGAGTAAATGCAGCTGGATTGGTCTACTGATGAATCCAACCTGACTCAAATACATCACCTTTTTAAGAAGTACTTACAAGGTGTTACAGGAATTTCAAGTGCAGAAGAAAACTACTGAAAAGGTGTTTGCATTTGCTAAGAGCCTGGAACACATACCCCTCAGCCTCCCTCCTCATTGTCAGTTGCTTTATTAAAAATATTAAGACTGTCAATCATGCTTTTCTACTCATCTAACCATATAAATAAGAGCAATTCCTATTATGAAAAATCTCAATAGCATTTCCTAAATTGTGGAGTATTTCCTCTGCCAATAGTCTCAGTGACAACCTACCCTTGGTGACAACGACTAACGAGGAGTGAGAGATGCACTTGCTATAGCCCGAATGATGCAAGTCATGACAAAGAATGGAGCTTTCCAAAGACTAGAAAACATGGTATTGCAATCAGCTAATCTGTTCTTCTAGCGCAATGCAAAAAGCCCAGAACTCACAAGAGCACAGTTCACCTCCCAGTCCTACTTCAGCGTGAGACAAACCAGGCCTAGGACACACGGAAATTTGGCACTACGTGGCCCAGCTCATGAGGCTTTTACATTATAACTTCTAGCTAGAAAAGTGATTTGAGGACACAATTTATAGATCTGAAGCCTACACCCACGTCCAGTTCAAAGGACTGCAAAAGCAATGCTTTGTGTTTGCGATCCTGCGCTGCCCAGCCCTCAGCACAGCTTACAGATGATATATTGGGGGGAGGGGGAGAGAAATTAATCTCGGGCAGAATTACTACGCTCCAATCACAACAGATGCCTATAGGACAAAAAGAGCTGAGATCCAGGCTAGGTGAAAGAAGCTGTGGCCAACCCATGCACAGATGCAAGTACCAGATTACCATTTACAGCAGTAAACAAGACCTCATTTAAGAACCACCACAACTCATTCACCACAGTGAAGAAAAACAACAACCCCTCCATGTCTCCAATGTGTGTAGCTATGGACAGGACTTTAAATTAATGCAGTGAGCAAAAGGGTGAAATTACCTAAAACTGTAGGGTTTTTTTTCTCCTCCCAGCAGGCACAGAGAACCTCAGCCAACACCTCTCTTCCCCAGTGATCTCCATACCTCAGTCCTTGTGCCGCACTCCGCTGCATACATATGTTACTGGCTGCCTTTGGCTACAGATATTCTTTGCTAACTTCATGCTCATCCTCTGCCAGCATACATCTGGGTACAGAAATACCATCAAACAAACATCACATGTTTGTAAATACAGTCCCCTCACCCAAGAAAATAACTGAAGCCCCATTAGTCTATATGCTCAGACAGCTGACTGGGGAGGTTTCCCGCCTCAGGCTCCAACGTCTGGACAAAAAGCTATTAATAAATATAAACACTTTAATGAATCCAAAGGGGAATAAACAAGGCAGATTAGGGTCCAGTGTTCAGCAGAGAAAGACAAGGGCAATTCACCAACCTGCCCCAACTGACATTAATCAGCCGTCTGGGCTCCGCAAAGTCGTATTCTTCTGTCTAGACTCCTAATCCGTCAATGGGAAAAGACATCTAATATTATTTCTGTCCTTTCCATCGACACCGTAAGAACACGTCTGACTGTCTGAACAAGTCACACACATAACGTGAAACAAAATCAGACATGACTTTGTTGGATGTGTTCGCGTGGGGCAGCTAGGAAAAGCACAGCCAGACAGCACTGAACTTCATCTCAGTTTGGCTGCAGTAATTAACTGGCTGCAGTAACTGATCAGAACAGCTACCTGCCGTACCTGGCCTGCTGTACGTACGTGGTGCTGGAATGCAGAGAAACACTTCCCAGTCTGTTTTTAAGCATAGCTAAGAAAACCTCTCTCCCCCTCCCCAGACCGCACTACTGGTCACTTAATATAGTAACAAAAACAAAGCAGAACCCAGACTGGACTCCTAGCAAGCACACTGTCAAGCCTTCAGTACATACGCTGGCTGTGCCTTTCATTTTAACCAGAAGGACTTAACCTATTGTTTGATTTTAAGGGACTCTGCACGTTCACAATCACTCGAGCTGCTCTTGTCAAACTACATTTTAATTTAATAAACAGAATAAATTAAGTACGAGTTGAAATGCTGAACAACTCATTGTCCCCCTTGAGGCCCACATCACATACTATATTTATATTTGTCTGTGCGGTGGAAGGACAAGCACAGACTTGTTTGTGATCTTCAAGTCCAGCACTTCAGTAGCTGCTATATTCTGCTACGCTATTTTCCTCGTCAACGCTTTCCGAACACTAAGATCTTTTCAAAAAAGAAATTAAAAACAAATGAAAACAACTATAAATACCCATCCACTGTACGCAAACGCGTAGGAGAAAAGAGGAAAAAAAAACAAAAAACAATACAGAAGGGTGCTTATCTAGGTGTGCTAAATCCTTAAGGAAGGAAATGAGGACTTGGACATGCCCACCGGCCAGCACACACAGCTGGCAGGGCAGGGAGAGAGGGGAGGAAGAGGAGGAAAAGCAGAAAAGAGGAAGCTCTCTTCTGCACGTTGCACCCAGCTATGTTAGCAACAGAGCACTGCCATTTTCACAAGCCTCCCACACTCGTGCACTGCTTGCTCCTCATCAGCACATGGCAGCTACTGACCAGGACAACAGGCTCCAGACTGCAGTGCAGAAAGGGCGGCTTTCTGCTCTGAGTGCAGCACGCACGATGCCCTGGCACTGCTCAAAACAACCGCAGCCACGCTGAGGCGTGAATTCACACGGGACTCGAGCTCCAGATGAAGGCTGTTTGACAGTAATACAAAAACAGGGAAACACACAGACATCCTAGAAGTCATGAAGGATGTGAAAACACTTGGAAAAAAGAAAGGTTTTATTACAGAAATGACCTTATCTTGAATTCTGCATTTCTGCACACAACCCGCTGCACACAACAGAGCTGATGCTGTCCGGAAGAAGCAGAGAAGTGCCAGCACGGTGCAAGGCTGCCAGGTAGCCAGGGATGAAAGGTCACCATCCTGCAGGGAATGCCAGAGAAGCACCCAGGAGACGGGGCTGCAAGGTGCTGGCACAGCCTGCTGGCACCCGGCGCCCAGCAAGACCCTCACAGTGCTCTGCATTCCTTTGTGCCCAGCAGGCAGGCTATTCACTGAGTGTACCTGAATGCAAGAAGCAATCTGCATTTAAAACGCTAACATATACTCTCTTTTTTCTTGAAAGGAAATCCCAGAATAAAAGGGGAGGTTTTGCTAAGTAGCCATTTTGTCTTCAACTTGGACATGATACCTAATCTGAATGCAACGTAAACATGCTCCTGAGGCTCGCCTCCAAACAGCACATTCATGGAGAGAGGAGAAAATCCAGAAAGGATGTCACAAAACAACCTAATAAATTAGGACAGCGTGAAGAAGTAATGATCCAAACAGACAGGAAATTCTGCAGTTTGGATCTCTTCTCTACGTCACGTTGTAGAACAAAAACAACCACCAAAACAAAAGGTAGCAAGTGCTGGTTAAGGACAATGAATTATTATTTACCATTTCAATTCTGAAAAAAACAGCCAAACAAAAGATTTCAATTTCACTATGCATCCAGACGTAGGGTATGTATATGTGCACAAATACAGCAAAATCACACACACAAAAAAGATATTTGGACTTGCCTTCTTTGACAGCTACACCAATTCAGAACAAAAAGCTAAACACGGTATGAAGCAGTGTAGTGGATCAACATGTTTTAGTAGAATGAATCCATGTATAGAAACACATATAAAGGAAAGCATCACCTAGGAGGAGTAACCTATATTTCCCATTCTCCACTTCCTGACCCTACATCACTCCCTTCAACCAGAAGCAGCCTTTAAAAACACAGAAACGTAAATACTGCAGGTGGTGCCTCCTGCAGCTGGGGGGTGGGGAGGACACGCCAAAATACTTTATTCGCACAGCAAGTAGAACTCGACTCATCGCATCCCCCCAGACACACGGAACTCAGTAAAATGTTGTTCTGCTATAAATTTTGATTGAATTTAAAGAGGGGGGAAAAAAAAAAAAAAAAAGGCAACACGGATTCCTGGGCAGATACTTGCAAACCATCACAAGTTTGAGCCAGAGCTGCATTCGCATGCCTGGGAACAGTGGGGCGGCTGCGAAACGCACCGCGTGCAGCGTTCCGGGCTCCATCACCGCCGTGCTGGAGGCTGCTCTCACCAGGAAGCAGCCGCAGCCCGCGGCGCACGCCGTCCGCTTACAAAGCCTCCAGCAGGTGAGAGGAGACCCGGCAGGTTAAACAGCGCCGCGGCGCAACTGCCATCACCGCGGGACACAAACGCGCTAACCGAGCCCCGTTACTCCGGGAAGACAACGCGCCCGGCTCGCACCGCCGCGGCCCGGCACACCTGCGCGTACCGCGCGCGCTCCCGACGGCGCCGTGCCCGCGCGCCCCGGGGCGCCGCTCAGCGCGGTGGGCCCGGCGGCTCCGCGCGCCCCGGCACAAAGGGGCCGCGCCCCCCCCCGGCCCTTACCAGATGGAGCTGCGGATCTTGTGCCGCAGCGCGCTGGCCTCGCCGCCCTGCAGCCCCGGCACCAGGGCCGGCAGGGCCCCGGCGGGCGCGGGGGTGCCGGCGAACCGCCGCGGCGGCTGCCCCTCCGCCTGCTGCTCCTCGGCCATGGGGGCGCGGCGGCGGCGCGGGGACGCGGAGCGGGCTGGCCGCACTAGGCCTCTGCCGCAGCCCTCGAGTGAGTCGCCTTCCCTCGCCGCCCGGGGGACATCACGGGCGGGGAGCCGCGCCGCGCCCCGCCGCTACGCCGCAGGATGGCGAGCCCGGCCCGCGGCACGGCGCATGGCGGCCCGGTCCTCCTCCGCCGCCCCCGCGCAGGGTCGCTCCGCCGCCGCCGCCCCGCTTCGCAGCACCTGGCCCGGCCCGGCCCGCCCCGCGCCGCCGCCGCCGCCGCCGCTCCTCGCCCCGCGGCCGCCGTGCCCGCCCGGGCGCCCAGTGCGCAGGCTCGGCGCTGCCCGAGCGGGCGGGCCGCCCCGCCGGGAGGGGGCTGGGGCCGGGGCCGGGCCGGGGCGGGGGCGCGGCGGCGGAGGGGCGGGAGCGGCTTCCCCCTGCGGCAGCCCCGGGCCGGGCTCGGGGTGCCGGGCTCGGGCGGACCGCCGGCACGGCGAAGGCGGACCGCGTGTGCGTGCGCCGATGCGCGGCTGTGCGGAGCCGGGCGTGAGTGGCACGGGCAGCGCCGAGCGCGGAGCCGTCGCCGCGGACACGTGAGCCCCTCCCGCGGCGCGCAGCATTACATCAGCCGCCCGCCCCGCACCTCTCGCCCTCGGGTGCTTCGCGCAGCCTCCCATCCTCCCGCACCCGGCGGTGTTTGTAAACAGCGCTCGGAGACGCACGCCGTTAGCGCGCACGCAGACCTCGCTGCTTCCCAAAGAAGCCGTCGCCGAGACGGAGGGGCCGACCCTCGCCCCGGCCTGCTCGCGTCCCGCAGTGCCCGCAGCTCTCGCGAACGGCAAAAGCCGCTCCGCTGCACCTCCGCTGCTCCTCTGTTCCCAATCCCTCCAATTCCAGTAGCGTTCGAGCACGAACTCGCCATTTTCCATCTGATTCATACCAGTGCCAAACAATCACAAAACCTCCCAAATGGCCCTAGACGTGCCTCTCTCTTTCCCCCAATGTTCTCATGGAACCCGAGCCCCGACAGCAGCAGTCTTTCATCTTTAGGGGTGCAGACCGCATCCCTGTGCCCTCCTGCGGCACAGGGCACCCCGCCCGGTCTCCCCGGTCAGTGCTGAGCCAGGCACAGCGGGACCCTTCTTAGCCTGGGCAGAGGGATGGGTACCCCAGCACCTTCCTACACTGTACCTGAGGATAAGCGTGTGCCTTCCCTGCCTGCAGTGATCCCTGAAAATGTGGGCCTTACACACTACTGATAAAGTAAATGCACACAGTGTAGCTAAATGAAGGAGATGAGCATTTATAAATGACTGTCACCAAACAAAACAAGAATTTTTTGAAATTAAATCTTCCCTTACATCTCTGCTGCCCTGAAGTCAAAACATTAATGGATGTGGCAGTGATGGGGATTTTCTTCTCCTCATAAAACCTCTAGTCAGAATCACAAAAATGTTCTCTCTTCTTCCTGCTTCTTACTAAAAACTTTTCTTTTTTTTACTTTGATTGGATATTTCTGAAGAATATCCAAGAAGTGAGTATAAATAGAAGTAAAAATTGTAATCAGAAGTAAACAGAAAGGCTAGCAACTTCAGTATACTTTTTGATCAACACACACGCAACCTTGTACAATATGACCAAGCTGATCCTGGTAGTATTTCCTAGTTTTTTTGTCAGCTGCTTCTGCTGAGATCTGTGGTTTGACCCTTTGAGATCTGACACACAACTTACCCCGCTTGGATACCAGGCCTAAAAAGGTTCTCCCTCATTGAAACTGATGGGCCTGCATATCACAGTAAGGTTCAACAGATGTGCATCATGTTTGAAGGACCACAGACTATTACAGTATATTGGAAAAATATATGTAATTTTAGCATTGCTTTCAGTCAAAACCAGCAGTTGGAAGACAAATTTATTATTTAGTTCCTTGTTAATTTAGTTCCCAGCAATGTCAAATTGTAGTCATACTTATTTATAGCTGTATCGGCATCATATGACCAAAAAAGAAATTAGTCACATCTGTTCTGCAAAACCTGCTGCACCGGGCACACGCTGGCACCCTCACACCACCACTGCCACCCTGCAACCACACCTGGTGCTTTAGGGCAGAATGGGATTAAATTGGCACCCAGATGAGTTAAGTGGGACAGAATCCCAGATTGCACTATTGTGGTGGAAGTGGACTCCAGGCCTCAAACCTGTGTGTGCACTCCCATATCTCACCACCAATTTACCTTTTTTTACAATTTTTTTTTTCCTTTGCTCTTTTGGTGTGAAGCCTTTCAACTGCAAGTCTGTTTCTGTTGCTGGGTCACTAGCTGTGATGGGAACATACAGAGGCCCAAAATAAAATTGGGGTCTCCTAATGACTGATTTGGCTAATAGGTGTCATTGCTGCAAAAGTTTTGAAGAGCAAAATCCAGAGAGGTCTGTTATGGAATCGAATAGGAACATCACAAAAGGCCGCAGTCTGCTCTCCAAAAGCCTTTTTCATGTTAGAAATAACTCCAGTGTTTTTCTCACATTCCCATTCTCACAATGTGTCCAAGCACAAGGTTTGGCCCAGGCTTTTTGTATAGCTGCACTGACTCCGAGTGAGGGCTCTTCCCCTTTACGTATGTTAGGCCAATACACGGAAGCCAGCTTAGCTGACTCTTACACAACCAGTGGAACTAGCTTTGAATTTCGTATGGTCTCTGCAAAATGCATGAAAGAAAAAATGGCAGCTCCTTATATGCAGTTTGCATGATTATATATAACTAAAAAAAAAAAGAAGAAATAGATCCAGAATAGTTGTTCAAACAGAGGAGCCTGTGCTAACAGAATTATTTTGAAGACAGTGAGGAGGACCATTTAACTGCTAAGAGACAAACCTGAACTCAAATGAGCTGGCAAAATACTGAAGACCTTCCAGGAATATCCACCAAAGACCACCCTAACCCTCTTTTGGAGTCCTTGTGGCTTTGAATACCTTTGCTGGAGATGTAGATCGAGGCTTCTGGTCAGAATGGTATAAAAAGACATATGAAAATTAATATAAAGGTTAATTGTAGATCCCAAACAAAAGTATGTGCTTAAGTCTAAAAATGCCAGAAGCCTGAGCAGCATTCTCAGGACCAGAATCTTAATTCTCTTTCCCATTTTCCAAATGTCTATTTTTAAGGAGCGCAGCAGCTCAGCTCAGATGAGGTAGGCAAAGGCCTTTCTGGTCTTGTGCCTCTGTTCCCAGGCATTCCCCTTCTGCAGACAGATTTTGCAGATTCCAGATCTGTTTATTTTTCCTCCATTTCTCTAGCTTCAGATGTAACATAAGGCCTCTCTGTAGGGAAAAGTTGTGCTTAAATACAAACTAACGTATTTTTCATTATTTTGTTTTGTTGGTTTTTTTTTCTTCCCTGTTATTAATTGCATCTGACAGCTGGGGAATACACTGTCTTATGCTTTCAAGGAGCAATGTCTCACTGCCCTTTCTGAGCAGCCAATACCAAGGATGGGTGCTCTTCCCTGTTTTCTGTCAGTTGAGAGAGATCTGCCATTTTATGTCTAACACGGGGCCAAGAAGAGACGTGCACACTCATAGACTAAACTGAGGGTAATAGCAGATAAATAATGAAATTCTGCTACCTTTATCCTCAAGGCAAGCATAAAACAAATTCTGTGAGGATAATTGACTTTAAAGCCTTGCTAAAAAAGACACTTTCCAAAAGCTTTAAACACTGGCTCAGTGAACTCCATTTTGATGCCTTCTTTGCTGCTCTTCTCCCCTGGGGATGTATGTCACCATATCTTCTGAGCTATGCCCAAGACAACTCCCTCTGATTTTCTTTATTTTATTACCTCTGTTCATGTGCAGCACTAGTAAAATGGAAATGCGATAACTAATCGTACCCGTAACCAATTTTAATATATACTTCAGCTTGTATGTTTTCAATTGTTTGAAAAAAGAATCTAGTTTACCTAGAAGACCTTCAAACTCATGTCATGATAACTGACAGGAGAAATTGGGCTGTATTCAAATGTGGCAGTGAAAAAGGGGCTATTTTAATTCTAAAAAAGCAGGAAAACCTGCTTGATCAGGACACTGCTGAACTTTGCTGCTTCTGGAAGCACTTTGTGCAGAGTGAGTTGAGCAGTGTGTGGTGAGCAGTATTGCAACCTGCCAAATAATGGGAAACACAAGGAAGTACGAAGCAGGCCCCACTATCACAAGTCCATCTCCAGCAAAGGACAAGTATTAGCTACCACACTGACTGTGTTACAGAAATTGTTTTCTTGGAAACCATCCTTGCTGTCTCCAGTTCTTCTCTGCTTTGCTGTCCTGTTGTCTTTTATATCTCTGCAAGGCAGTTTAAGATGCTAACAAAATGGATATGCAGCCCTGACTCTGTGCGGTTGTAGACAGTCACCAGATGCAAGATAGCAATGGCCTAGGCTCACATAGGCCTGGCTACAGCTTGCCCTGGTAGGGCAGATGAGGAGTGTGGTGTTATGCTGGGATAATACACAGATTGTTTACATTCTGGAAGTCACGATAACCAATTAAATTTCCAAGGTCCATTCAGGTTCTTTGATGATATGGACAGTTTGAAACTTTTTATTTCTATAATCTTCTTCTTTGCAGTGCAATAAATCTTTGTATCAGTATAATTTCAGATGAGCTGCTGAGCTTGAAAAAGTTATGAGTATGGTGTTTCTATAACCTGCATAGCTGTATTCAACTACTGCAGACTAAGAAAGCTACTTAAAAGGGGACAGTGGGTCATGAAAGTAATGACTCAGACTGTCCTGTACAAGGCTTATGAGTAGGAAGGAAGGCTGTCATTGAAAGGAGTTGATGCTTAGCTGAGTCACGTTTCAAACTGACATCCTTTCATTTTTAGTGTTATTGAATATTTGATAACCTTGCTGGTAGAAGTTAGGGTTAAAAATATTTTTAGTTAGACCACCATGCAGTTGCTTTGTCTTTCACTTGTCTTTCATTCTGACTCAGAGGCTCAGTTTTAGGGAAACTGACAGAATCAAAGGTAAGGAGAGAGAAATACATGCAAGTTTCATATAACAAAGCAAACAGCACAACACTTCCGTCCTAATTTTTTTTCAAGTTCAGTAGTAATCTGGAAAGGTATTCAAAAGTAAATGTTGCCTACCTGCAGTGGCTGACTACAAGGATCAGGACAGTTCCTGTATGCAGAGACACCTCCTGTGAAATGCCTTGCCACATGCATTGGTGACCACTGCAGATAACCGTGACCCAGTTAAGATCACTGCATAACATGGTAATGTAGATGTGACAGAGGATGGGAGAGGACCAAATTCCCAGACTCAAAGCCAAGTAGAACAGACCCCAGTACAAGAAACTGTGAATTTCAGTTATGTTGGTTCAAGAGCTGCATTCCCATACAAACAGTGGATGTCCTAAATTGGTGCCTGAAGGAATCCTCGAGGATTTCCAAGCATCCTGAGAAATTTGTTTGCATTTTCTCCTGTATGTAAATGGACAAGACAGTGATCCAGTGATACAGAAGCACTTTCAACTACAGCAGTTGCCCTTTGATTCCTCATCTTGCAAGCACAATGTGTCTTGTCAAACATCAGCTTGGGGACACAATCATGAGTTTTTTTCTCACAGAAGTTGTGCCCAAATATGGAGGGAAAAGAAAACACTGCTCGCACATTATGCCTGCAAAGCAGACAGGTAGCCTCACACCCCAATAAAATGCCATAGTCTCATGTTTTGTCTTATCTGTTTCTTCTTTAAGCTCCCTGTCCTTGACAAGACAGTACTGTACAGGCCAAGATCAAAGCAGTCATGTCTCATCACTGCTAGCTCATGTCTCTGTTTTAATACTTCCGTTCTTTTTGGTCAAAACTTTAACCCTCCTCCTGTTCGTTTACTGGCACATAACTCCACCCTCTCCAAGGACCATGTCTGTTCATGCAAGTGCTCCAAGCTGTCAGGATGCTCTCTTCCACGCAGTCTTTAGCCTGAAGGTCCACTTCAAGCGACCCTCCACAGCATTCCTGCCAGCAGGCATTGCACCGTCAGCAGTCAGCATCGATGGTAACAGTGCCTGTGACCACGAGCAGTGCTATTGGTGCCTGATCAGGATGCAGCAGGAAACGTCTGGCCTCCACTCCACAACCATCTGCTAAAACCAGGCCTCCTCTGGCAGGAGTCCAACACAAAGTAAACAGAGTTTCACAGCCGGATTTCAAACTACAAAATAACTGAGAAATATGGCTCTCTGCTCCTAGTTTTCAAATTCAAGACATGGAAGCCTCTAGAATCAAAAATCTTTTATGGATTCTAAGACCTTTGGGTTGCCAAATGGATTCATCATAGTTAACACTAGGGAGAAAGTGCTCTGATATAGTTATTTTAATTAGCTAATTAGTTCAGTTTAAGCATTTGCTAGTTTTTAAGATGATTTCTTTTCCAAAATCAGTGATGGAGAAAAATTAAATTGTCAAACTGGAGACCTCAGCTTGCAATACGTGTTCAGGAAACTATGTACAGAGATAGAATAGTTGATATTGTAGGATATTTTTCATGGTGTAAGAGAGAGAGAAGGACTCAATGAAGTGTGAATGATTTTTTAAAAGAACAGATTGCCGTGTCTTTTAAAATAGGTCAAGTTTTTGGCCTAGTTTTGTTCAGGGTGTCCCTTAAAGCAACAAGGTTTAATATTAAAGACAAAAACACCATTGCATTTTTGTTTCTAGCCACATCTATGTATGTACTTTTTAAGGCAGAAATGTTCCAGTGTAAGAATAGAATGGCAAAGACTATGTATCTCAAGCAACATTTCGGAACAAGTTACACTCAACAGTAAAATCTCACTGGTGGCCACACTTCATCCTTAATGTGTAATGTTAATCTGAAACAAGCAGCTAAGGAAAAACAAACTATAAATAAAGGAGATTGCAAATGAAGCCAACACCTGTAGACCCAACTCCTGTCAAATTTTGTTCCCCTAAGTCCCTGGAAATTTAGCAGCATTGTTTGCTTTCCATTTTGAAACTGATTAATTCAATTGATTAGTTTGATTTAAGTAGAAACAGAAATACAATAACGGCATTCAGATTGAAGGTACACAAGATAGTACTTGAATAAACTTATTGAAAGGAGATAAAATAGAACTGTGAAAGCAAAAAGAATCTGTATGTATGTATTTAGATTCTAAAAATGGACATTCAAGATATTTTAAACAGTGAAAAATTCCGCCTGCAGTATTAATTAGTATAGAATAAATACAGTTTGTCTTCCATGTAAGTGCAGTCTGGTACATATGCTTACAGACACACCTTTGTTCTGAGAACATAGTATAATGCGTGCATACGTAATGATGTTACATAGACTTAGTTATTCAACAAAATACAGCAGTAATTGAAGTTAGCCTTAGTGCATCTATATGGAATGAGGCAAGGCATAACTAGGATTTCCTCCATCCCAGAGCTCTGGAAAAAGACCAGGTACAAATCAAGAGTGGTTATGCTTGGAGAGTACACAGACAAGGCTTGTCACTCTACGTACACTCCCCCGAGGCAGAGATGGGAGCTTGGTGGATCTTTATTAAAATAGATATTTTTTCCCTACTAAGATTATCCGTAAGGGATAGTGCCCTTCAGGCACAACCCTTCAAGAATGTACCTTCTTGTGGTAAAACTGCATTGACCCAATGCACAGTAATAAATATCAGTTGGCTCACAATTTTGTACAGTAATAAAGATACTGAATAGCTTGTCAGTGCATGCTTCAGGAAAGAAGTACA